TCAGCTAGGAATCAGTTCACACACCAGTGGCAGTGTGGGGGTAAATCTCAACTGTAGGAGGGGAGCATAGCTCTCCAAATGACATTCTCTTGGTTCAGGCTCTTTAGAGCAAAAGTAGTCTTCAAACCTTTTCTCAATACCCTAGACAACACAATATCCTAGCATGCCTGCACCTCATTACATATACAGACTTTTTCTTTTTACAGAGGACAGACATGGCTGATGAAAAAGTGACTCTTCTCCCAAAAGATACTGTCTTATGACACAGAGGTCACTCGCTGTTTTGGTCCATCATCCAGAGTCATTCAGAAACATTATAAATGTTTAATTTCCAATTTCCTATTTGCGAATAGCTGTGGTTTGCAGGAAGGACCAACACATCCTAATCCATGAATTCAGTATGACATGTAAATTGCCCTTTTAAGAAAAATCTTATTTATTATCTGTCAATATATGACTAGTTAAACTGTGAGGATCTCTTAACATCATCAAAATAATCAAAATGAGAAGCATTTTCAGTAGCCAGTTATGTGAAATAATTACATGAGTTTACAAACAAACTCATCTGGGAACAGGTGTCTATCTCAGACTATTTTCATGTTGGCTAAGTAACTAAGCATTGTAACAGAGATCAAGAACAAAATAAACCTGTGTACAGAAGTATGGTCTTTCACCAAGTGCTGCCTCTACATGTTAAAGCATTTCAACAGGGCAGCAAAAGGCTGTCCACAACTTACAAGGCATTGTCCAGCACAGGTTTGACAAGCAGACAAATATGGAAGCTGGATTAAAACAATGTGTATCCCTCTCTGTCATGCAAACATAGATTTCCACAACAATTCTAGGTTTGTTGCAGTCTTTAAGCATCCTAGTCTTTAAGGAATGTTTGCAGGTGTGTGAAAAGCAAAGCTGCCAACCTAATGAGAACTAATGAGAACAACCTAATGAGAACAACTAAGCAGATTACTACAGTATCCATACTAAGGCTGGAGTGGTCTTGGCAGTCCTGGGGTAATAGTTGATCTTGATGGTCTTAAATGTCTTTTCCAACCTAGCTGATTCTATAGCTCTACGATTCTAAGTCTGAAAAAGTGGATTTATAAGCACGTATAATGTATAAGTGCATGGCAAGCACACCAAACAATTCTTTGCCATACAGAAATACCCACCAGTACACAATTAAAGTAGGCTAATCCACAGCTCAGAAGAGAAACAATGAAGAAACTTCACTTGAAGAAACTTCACAATGAAGAAACCTCCACTACACTGAAGTTTACAGGAATCTCACCTGCCAGCTGACCTGCTTGCATCAGTCTAGGGCTGCTGCATTGGAGGGCAGCTTATAGACAGAACTTTCTCATACAGGATCCATACCATCTTGGGAGAGAAGCATTTGGCATTCAGTGTGGTTTTTGGTAGCCTACATGAAAACAGGTCAAGAGGAGCAGCTGTGAAGCCAGAAAAATCAACAAAATCAAGGCAATCACAACTGCATGGCTACAAGGCAGAGTCCATCCAGAATTATGAGTTTCAAAGTATTTTCATGAAGTATCAGATACAGGAAGTCTATACAATTCCTATATAAGACATCATCAATAAAACCTCAGAAATCTTACTTGCAAGGGAAGACATTTACCAATAACAGATAACAAGAGTGAATGCCATGAAAATATTCACACCTGCTCATTGGTTAATTTATCCTGCAACTTGTAATGTATTACTGCTCCAGACCAGAAATCGCAAAATATTTAAGGACCCCATCTCAAAACCTGACCATTTTAAGTGAAATACCTGACATCCTAACTCATACAAAGCAGCGCATCGGTTACCTTTGATATGCTGTACATCTCACAGAAAGATTCTCAGAGAAAGAATCTGGATGATTTCAAGATTACAGCAGTTTTAATACACCACCATGAAAGGTATTTATCTATAAAGTTTAGAATATTTTGATTTCTAATGCCTTCTGAGCATGTAATATTGACAGAAACCATCACTAGCTTTATGCAGTATCTAAACATTCCATCAACCAAATGTTCCACCAACACCAAGGGAGTCTCATCTCTTCTATTGTAATGGAAGAAAACCCACACATTTATATATATATATATATAGGAATTTTCTTTTAAAACAACAATTCACATGCATGACAATTATGAATTACTGAAATTTGTGAACTAATCATAAAATGGATAAACTAACCATAAAATGGATAAACTAATAAAAAAATGGATAAACATACTTTAAAGCAGCAAGAATAACACACCAAAAATTTCATGTTAACTAATTTTGGCAACCACATGTTAATTATTTATTACAGCAGCTACAGTGAACTAATGTACTGCAGCATATTTAGTGAATAAAAAGACTTAAAAGAGACTAAAACATGCAACAGCTTTTTATATATTAGCTGTATGCTGAAAAGTGAGAAAGAACTGCTAACCAGTTTATTAGGCCAGACATCACTCAGAGCAGTAAACAGAGAGCTAAGATACTATTGTGTTCTGTAATTATGCACATAAGAAAAATTTGAATACAGGTTACCAATAAAACACAAATTCCTGCAGTTATCCACACATTGTCCAATTATTTATCTGTTTCTCTTCTTCTCATGAACATATGACACCAAATAGCATGCAACTGCAGAGAAATTAATCGGCCTTTCATGTTGTGCTGATCTGGTTGATCCCTGAATTACAATGAACAGAACCCACTTACCAGGCTACATAATTAAAACGGTCAAATTTTAAACTCACATATTTAAGCCGAATGCTCTCCACAGCCGCTCCAAAATTCTGATGCAAAATTGTGATGGTAAATTAAATCTTTCAAGCCTACCAGTGGGCTTCAAGAGCCAGGGAATCTATCCAGGACTCTGCAGGAGCTTACTCTTCCTCTACCAAGGAGCTAGGTGTTGGCATAGGAAGTAGAAACTTATTATAAAACGAAGAAAAATGCAAGTGAAACAGGGTGGAAAATAGGACTGTATACAATTCCAGTATATAAATCCACAACCAGCCATCTGAAATACCAGGTGAAACAATTGCTTCATCTTAAATCAGAGTTCAGAATACATACTTAAGGCCACAAAAATAAAAATGCAGCTAAAAACCAGCACCAATAGCTCCTTAAAAAGGGAACAAGCAGGTCGTGGACAACACCGAATGTTCGCACACTGGAAGATCATAAATGGAAAGACTTTCACGTATGAGGTACAGCCAGCCTGCGGTATTTCTAACTATATGATCACCAAACGGTTAGGGTTGGAAAGGACCTTAAGATCATCTGCTTTCAACCCCCCTGCCATGGCAGAGATGCTTCACCTCTGACCATGGTGCTCAAGGCTCTGTCCAACCTGGCCTTGAACACTGCCAGTAATAGAGCATTCACCACTTCTTTGGGCAACCTGTTTCATTGCCTCACCACCCTCACAGTAAAGAACTTTTTCCTTATATCTAACCTGAACTTCCCATGTTTATGTTTTAACCCATTACCCCTTGTCCTGTTGCTACAGTCCACTGAGCTGAAGATGTTTTCGAATGTAAAAAGTAAGATCAGTTATGTAGTTAAATAATAAACTAACCAAAATTATAAGGGCTTACACAAGCAAAGTTTGGAATGGTCAGTAAACAATGTATTTCACAGCAACCCAGGCTCTTTCAGCTATACAACTTCTGTATCAACAAGATTTATCTACTACCAATCTACTACCAGCCATCTTACCTCTTCTGGTGAAGCACTTGTCAATGTTCCAAGCTCCTGTCTTGCAAACCAGTCCAAATACTCGTCAAAATGGACTACAGACACACCGGAATGGCAGCTCCCTTATTCTCCAGCAGTACTACTCCAAATACCCAATCCCTTTTTCCTCATTGTTATCCAGTAACAGCCCACCCTTATAAGTAAAGTGTTATTCACTCAGAAAAGGAGAGGAACATGCCATTTTGTAAGAAGGCAGCAGAAAAATCAGCAGAATTCATCCTTCCTTGAAAAGCCATAGTGCAATAGTGACTTTTTCTGTAAAGAAGCCATTAAGTAATAATCATCAGATTTTATGAATTCATGCAGAGATAAAATATCTCTGGTTTCTAGCCATTATAGCGGTCTTTGAGGGTTTTTTTGTTTGTTTGTTTTTGTTTTGTTGTGTTTTTTTTTTTTGTTGGTTGGTTTTTTTGGTGTGGTTTTGTTTTTTGGGTTTTTTGGTGTTTTTTTTTTTTGCAATTCAAGCCCTATGTACTGTAAAGGGCTGAAAGTGGGGGTGGGAGGTCATTAATGCTTAGTTCCCTGTAGCATCTTAAAAGTACCCCTAAATTTCATATGATACTAACTGTCATAAGTACAGCATGCACAAGGTACATTATATAAATTAATTAACCTTGGCCTTGGGATTATTAACTATGTAAGCACAGCATTTGGAAAAGCAGTTACCCATAAGCTTTCTCTAAACCATTTTTATATCCTTTTAGAGCCCATAGCTATGCTAACCTGAAGGCTCCTTTAGCCCAAGATTACTATACCACCTCTATACAAAAATAGACTTCTGCTGAGAAAGAAAAGCACTATCAGTGCTTTCTTTGCAGTAAAAACTACCAGTGTCCACAGGCAGTCTCCACGGTGGTAAATGTGCTATTTCAGTATTGTACTGCATGTACTGTACCAACGACAAGTTCAGTACTCCCACAGAGATTTCTGTCTAATACATTGATGTCTAAAATATTTCTCTAGTCACTAAGAGCTTTCTTCTTTCTTACTGGGAAATTTCAGGAGGCAGCAAACCATTACTGGTTAAATATAGGTTTTGCACTTGCTGTAGGTATATATGAACCTTCTTACCCACAAAAATGCACACGTATCTATCCAGATTATCTGGAAGCTGTAAGATCCCACCTGCTTTGCAAGGAACTTCCATTCATGCAGTGTCAGTGGACTCAACTGTACATGAAGGAGACCCAGCACCTTTCCTTCTGCATAATTTACTGACTCTTGGAGAAGTCCTGGACGTCTAAGCTATTCTGTCCTTTCAGGGGACTGAGATGATTGAGGAAAATGCGGAAACCAGAACCTTTCACCTGGCTACACCCATTCTGGAGAGCAGAGAGTGCTGCAGAACCAGGATCTCCCCACACTGCAGAGCCTGGCTGAAGACACACTGTAAGCACCTTGCACCTGCTACTGTGCTAACCGCAGTCATTGTTTTCTGTCCTCGCTCTCTCTCATACACTCAGTTTTGCTACCTCCTACATCACTATTTCAGTCCAGGGCTAATTGTGGACAGCCGGCTGGATGCCTTTACTCCCACACGTAGTCATTCTGATAGTTTCATTCTGTAGCAGTTACACTGGAACCTCCCAATGCACTGCACTTTCCTCAGTGACCAGGCAACAGTACAGCTGTATGCAGGTCTTTGGGCCTTCACTGGGAACATTTTTCTGTTGGGTGAGGTATTTGTATTAGCAGCACTGCCCTGTCCTTAACTGTTATTTACCTTAAGTGTGACAGGAGATATAAGCATTCTAAAGCATGAACACAAGACATGTATGTGCCATTAAAAAGGTGATTAACTGCTGCACACATTATTCTACTTGAACATACATTACAATACATATTTGTCCTCCATAAGCGCATTATTTCTTCAGTCAAAACAGAAATAGGTTATCCTTCCAAGACTTCCTTACTGTCACTAAATCTACTTGTACATCTTGGAGTGGGAGTAGAATGGGGGAGGAACACGATGCAGTGCCATTTGAGGAGAGAGCTACACTGATGTGCAGCAGAGGGAGAAGACGGGAAAGAAGCCAAGCCACAAAACCTTATGTGAATGCCAAAGCAGGCCTGCATCAAACACTTCCCCCCCCCACCCCCGGCCCCCCCTGCCCTCAAGAATTCACTATAGTTACTAAAATTTTAGGCTACCCAAGTCTGCAGCCATCCAAGAAAGTACTGGGAATGAACATCAAAATGCCAGTGATGGTAAGGCTAGAAGCCCAGTCCTAATCTAACACAAGTGCCGTACCAGACCAAGGTCCTCAAGCAGGATCTAGAGGATGCTGCCCTGATCCAAGCAAATACTGCTGAAAAGAGTATCAGCTGTTGTGGTTGGCTGCTTTTGGCCTTTTTTTTTTTTTTTTTTGGTCAGTTGTTTATTTCGGGGGGGAGGTGTTTTGGGGTTTGAGCCTTTTTTTTTTTTTTTTTTATTAGTAATTAAAAAGTACCACTGGTGCTCGGCTTGGAAAAATTCTTCTAAAGGAAGATTTTATAACATAAGATGGCCTTTATATCAGAAATTATCAGAAAGGGGGGATTTTCATCACGCACCCATCACAGTGTCTTGTTAAGCTGTTTGACAACAGCAAATACACTTTTATTATCAAGGCAGACATGTATCTCCTCAAACAAGCACCATTTGTATGTTTGTTGCATCACTTTCTTGCTCCACCTAACACCTGAACATGCCCAACCATGTAGTTTACTCAAGAGCCCAAACACTGCAGTATTGACAAACCTTCCAGTTCTGTAGTATTTAACCATAAATTTATCCCACAGCAGGGAAGTAAATTCTGCCTTCTAGAGCTGTTGCTGTGACTATCTCTGCTGCTACCATTGCCAAGGCTGGGTCATTGCAGCAACAACACTCATCAAAACAATAGTCATCAATCATATTACAAGGCAGGGAGTAAAAAAGGAGGAGGAAAAAAAAAAGATGCGTTTTAGTGAGATCTGGTTCAGGAAACTTTTTTTTTTTGGTTCAGCATTGAATTCTCAGTGATGAAAAGGCAAACTTACTAGTTTATTTCAGTAAATTTCCTTCAAAAAAGGCAAAAGACCTGCAACACTTTTCTATCTATGCAGTATCCGAGGCTCAGATTGCTGAAGACGTAGGCAAAGCTAAAATGGAAATAAAAACCAGAAAATATTTTGCAGTTGTTATACAGAGATTGACTTAGCACAGAAAGCTACTCTCTTATTTCCTAAAGTATTCCTAAAACATCTCCCATCTGATTGAAGAGAATCTGGAATTAACTGTTGACATGTGCATGTTGTAAAAAGAAAGAATCTTTCATTTGTGTCCTGGGTTTAGCACTAGCAGTCATTTTTTCTCCTTCTTGGTAGCTGGTGCAGTGCTGTGTTTTGACTTTCGGGCTGGGAACAGAGCTGATAACACTGATGTTTTGTTTTGGCCACAGACTTTGTGAGCCTCATGCTCTGCCAGGGAGGAGGGGAAGCCGGGAGGAAGCAGAGATAGGAGACCTGACCCAAACTGACCAAATAGGTATTCCATACCACAGCGTGTCATGCCCAGGATGTAACTGGGAGGTACCCGGAAGGGCTGGGAGACTGCGGGGTTGGAGGAGGTATCGGTCGGTGCTTGGTTGGGCTGGGGGGGCGAGTTATTGGTCACCTGGTGATGAGGTGGTGTATTCTCTTCCCTTGTTATTTCCTTTATCATTACTATTATTGGTGGTAGCAGTAGTGATTTGTGTTATACCTTAGTTACTAAACTGTTCTTATCTCAACCCGTGGGAGCTGCATTCTTTCTGATTCTCCTCTCCGTCCCTCCAGGAGTAGGGGAAGGGCAAGAAGAGGGGGGCAGTGGGTGAACAAGCTGTCTGGCTGGGGTTAAACCACGACAGTTCATTAAATCACTAATAAGCACATTCAATATCAAACCAAATGCCTTTTAACCGAAAGGCACAGCATTTGTTTACATCTGGCAGACACTATGGAATTCATTCTATGCAACAGTTGCTTAATCTGGAATACATTAGATGAAGGGACCCCACCAGAGATAAAGCTCAAAATTAAATGGCTACCTCTTTTGTTAAACCCTATTGTCTCTCACTACCGCCTCTCTTTTTCCTCCTTCTTCTTAACAGTTCCAGAATGCTGGGAGACACGAATATATCAAGCCTTTGACAGAAAAATGTAACACTTCTAAATCTGGACAGGTCTGTTTCTGGGAACAGAAAAAGACACTTAAATGCTCCTTCCCCTTTGCAATACAGGCATAAGAATGTATAGTGGCTGAGAATGTATAGTGGTTAAGATGATGAACAGACTAACAGGCTACTATTGCAGAATACTGGTGAGGTGCATCCCACTCCTCCAGTGTGCTTGACTCGTAGGGGCTACAAACAATTACTGGCCTTGCTATTATTGCCTACTTGGAAGTCTAGGAAGCAGTAATATAAGCTCTACTAGAAAAGAAATTGTATTTTAAGTAAACTCAGAATCATCTTGCGTTAGGAAAATCCTCAACTACGCTGATTACATAGAAGATGGCATTGGAACCTCAAACATAATGCTCATTAACATGAAGAAAGAGATGGTGTACCCATCTGAAATTCTACATCACAGCCTTTCACTCTAATCCCATTGGGCTGAGAAACATACCTGGATTAACACCTAAAAGGTCTCACTTTCCTGAATTACAGGAGTTAAAAGTGTTACCATGAGTGTGTCAATAGGCCAAGTTCTCCTCATCAGCCTGTAACCATCTTTCTTCTTAACGCTGCCCTGAATCACCTTTACCTCCTAGGCAGAGGCTTAGCTGTGTTCCAGGTCAGCTCTGATCCTGCACAGCTGTGTGACCCTGGATCAGACTTTGGTGAAAACAGCTAAATTGTAAAAACCCATTTAAAAATCACCAGATTTTCCTTTGCCCTACACAAAGCTGTACAAACAGTGTGGAATTTCAGAACCAAAGAATTACTGTCTTTATCATCACAATCTTTCAGCAAACATAAGCCAGATTCTGGTTTTACAGGAAAATCTCAAGCTCTGTACAGAATCATGTGAAATGGGATGATAATGTTGTCCTTCTCTGCTATGAGCCATCCTCATTTTTATCCTGGTTTTAATCCAAGTATTCTCCCAGAAAGATGAAAAAAAAAAAAGAAAATTTTTAATAGACAACTTATTACAGCTGCTTTGTATCCCACCTTCACACATTTTCTACCATAACTCTTCTCCCTTGAGACACAAGAGGCATAAAGCACCCTGCAAAGATTCCACTCAGAAAGCTTTGCCAGTCATGCACTCTAAAGTCCCATCAGGAATCCAGCTCCTCACCAGAGAAAAAGGTCTGCTGTCAGCTGGTTCATTTGCATCCTAGCTGACAAGGTGGTTTGTCTCGAGCTTTTGTTACATACTACAGCATCCTTACAGACTAACATAGAGATCACTGGCACCTTTCTGAACAAGGGCTGTGCTCTTGCTTGCAGCTACCTCTGAGGTTGTACTCTGAGGCACTTTAACAAAAGCTGTGACTGTTCAAATTATTTCATACCAGTTACTGTATATGGTTTTAAAACTTTACTAGTTTTAATTGATAATCAAAGATGGATCAAGTCAAGATACCGGTTTTGTCTCTTAAATAAAAAATAAAAATTGGCATATTTAATGGCATGGACAATGCCAGCACCAGTCCTACTTTCACATGTGAATTCAGCCTATGCAGATAAAATATAAAAGCTGCTCTAAGTCTATGGGATATTGTAATTAACAATAATTTCTTTCCCCATTTTACAAGTTAGGACTTTTTCCTAAGCCAGTGCCCCACTAAAATTTAACTTCAGCAATTGCTCTTCCTATTATAGAAAGACTCTTTGTAAAAGCTCTGAATTCAGGGTGTATTTGAACATCTAAACATGGCTGCGAATACCATGATGTGACAACAGAGCTGAACTTTGCTGTATTTTGTAGCTTCATTTTCAGATTTTTCAGCATGTCAATCCCAAGCATTTAAGAGTTACATCTTGTAAAGAGACGGTTTAAAATAACCAATCTGAAGTAATTTTATATTACATTATGGGCCCATAAATAAATATTCTATCCAGAAGCTAAAAAGTTTTATTAGTATATGCTGAGCTCCAAAATTAAAGTACCTGCTGATGCAGTTACACAACTTCAGGATTTCCTTGCTTCCAGCCATTTGTGGTAACAGAGAGAAGAGCCTGGGTCTAAGGCCTAGCTTTATTTACTTCAAGAAAAATGATTGATTACCATGTTACTGGTCATGCAAGCCTTCTTTTCCTCTTCCTTGCAGTTCTTCCTCTTGTACTTTATACACTGCTGGTCCTTCATTCCTCAAAATACAGCAGCAGAATAGAGAATTGTTCTCTATC